GTATGGATACATTTTCATTACTTTATATTTATATAGAACTATATAGATATATGTATATATATATATATATAGATGTATATAAATATATACGTACATGTATATATATTTTATATACATATATATATACATATATATATGTATGTACTTATGTATGTATGGTCAGAAATTTATACTGACATAGAAGTATATATATATATACATAAATATATACACGTATATATATACATACTTATATATATATATTTATGCATATATTATATGTGTGTTAATGTTAATATATATATGTATGTATGTGTTTATGTTCATAAATTTATACTTACATAGAAGTATATATATATACGTATTGGCAGGTATATATACGTATATGTATACATACATACTTATATATATATATATTATATATATATATTATTTTAGTTTATACATATATGCATATATATATATATAGATATATATAAATATATATACATATATACATATATACAAACAGACATACATAAATACATATACACAAACAGACATACATAAATACATATACACAAACACATATTTATAGTCTATATATATTTATATAGATATATATACACGCACATATATATATATATACTTATTGTTAATGTATATGTATTTATATGTGTATGTTTATGTGTATATATTAACATCTATATGTATATCAATATATATATATTTATATTTTTACACGCAGACACACACACATCTATACATATATATGTATATACGTATATATATATATATATATATATACATTTTTATGTATTCATCTATACATCCATATATCCGTATATTTTTATTCATATATCGTGTATATGAAGATATAGATACATGTAAACATAACATATATATATATAGATATGTATATGTCTATATATACATATGTATGTGTTTGAATATTTATGTATATATATATAAATGTATATGTATATGTATGTATACATATATATATATATGTGTATATGTATACATATATATACATGTATACATACATATATTCACACACGTACATATAGATATACATATATATATTTATTTAGATAGTATATATTTCTATCTCTATATAGATGTATAAATGAAAAGATATCTATCTATATTTGTGATGTATATATGGATATGTGTATATATTTGTATATGTATTTTTGCGTATATTCTTATTTGTATATGTTCATATATATATGTATATATATATATATATATGTATATATATATATGTTTATTATATATTTATTGTATATGTATAGCTATATGTATATATATATATAAATATGTTTATAAACATGTATGTTTACGTGTATAAATGTTTTTTTGAATATGAATATATATATGTATGTGTATTTTGTTCATGCGTACATGTATAAACCCATATATATAGCTATACGAATATATATCTGTATATATACATATATATATATATATATTCTATGTATATATATATATAAATATACACACACACTTGTATATATATATATATAAATTGATA